GTTTTTTAAATATTGCTATTGTACCTGTCTCAACCACTTTCTCTGGCAGCAAATTCCATATACACACCACTCTCTGCGTGAAGAAGTTACCCCTCAGATCCTTCTTAAATCTTTCCCCTCTCACCTTAACCTATGCCCTCTAGTTTTCAATTCCCCACCCCTGGGAAAAAGATGATATGCATTCATCTGATCAATGCCCCTCAATATTTTATACACCTCAATAAGGTAACCCCTCATTTTCCTATGTTACAAGGAATAAAGTCTTATCCTGTCCAACCTCTCCCTATAACGTGGTCTTACGAGTCCTGGCAACATCCTTGTAAATCTTTGCACACTTTCCAGTTTAACAATGTCTTTCCTAGAAAGACTGTACAGAATACTCCAAGTGTGGCTTCACCAATGACTTATAAAACTGTAACATAACGTACCAACTCCTATACCCAGTGCCTCAACTGATGAAGGCCAGCATGACAAATGCCTTCTTCACCACCCTGTCTACCTGCAACGCTGCTTTCAATGAGCTATATACTTGTATTCCATGTCCTTCCATGTTCCATGTTCTTCCATGTTCCCCAACACTCCTCAGGATCTTACCATTTACTATATAACTCCGATCTTAGTTTGACTTTCCGAAGTGCAATACCTCACGCTTATCTGTATTGAATTACATTTGCCTATCCTCAGCTTCCCCATCTGATCAAGATCCCTTTGTAATTTTTGATAACCTTCCTCGCTATCCTCCTAATTTTATTTCAACTGCAAACTTACTGATCATAACTCATACATTCACATCCAGATCATTTACGTAAATAACAAATAACAAAGGTCACAGCTCTGACTCTTGTGACACATCACTAGTCACAGGCCTCCAGTCCGAGAAACAACCTTCGATCATCGCCCTCTGCTTCCTACCATCGAGACAATTTTGAATCCAATTAGCTAGATCTCCCTGAATCCCATGCGACCTAACCTTCATAACTAGTCAGCCATGTGGTACTTTGTCAAAGGCCTCACTAAAGTCCATATAGACAACATCCACTGCCCTACCCACATACATCCTCTCTGTTACGTCTTGGAAAAACTCTAAAAGATTTATCAGACATGACTTCCTTGCACTAATCCATGCTGACTATCCCTAATCAGACATTGACTATCAAAATTTGTTTAATCCTGCCCCTCCGTATCTTCTCCAATAAATTGCCTACCACTGATGTCAGGCTTACTGGCCTGTAGATCCCTGGCTTGTCTTTGCTACCTTTCTTAAACAATGGAACAACATTAGCCACCCTCCAGTCTTCCGGAACTTCACCAGTGGCTAAAGATGAAGCAAAAATCTCTGCAAGGGCCTCTGCAATTTCTTCCGTAGCCTCCCACATCATCAGAGGATGGACTTGATCAGGCCCAGGGGATTTATCCACCGTAATACGTTTTAAGGCTGCAAACACCTCTTCTCTGGTAATATGTATGTGGTCCAAAACATCCCCACTTGTTTTCCTTGTTCCCATAGCATCCATAATTCTCTCCTCAGTCAACACTGAGGAGAAATATTCATTAAAAATCTCCTGTGGCTCTACACAAAGATGGTCATGCTGATCTTTAAGGGAACCTATTTTCTCCCTAACCACCCTTTTACTCTCAGTATACCTATAGAACCTCTTGGGATTATCTGTAAATTTATCTGCCATATCCATCCCATACCCTCTTTTTGCTCTTCTGCTTTCCCTCTTAAGTGTGCTCCTACATTTTTTATAGTCATCTCGGGATTCATTGAGCCCGATAGTTTAAACCCAACGTATTTCTTCTTCTTTTTCCTGACCAGAGCTTCAACATTCTTCATCGGCCTGGGATCCTTAAATCTACCAGCTTTTCCCTTCACCTTAACAGGGACATTCTGTCCCTGGACTCTTGATATCACACTTTTAAAAGCCTCCCATTTTCCAGTCATTCCATTTCCTTCAAACAGACTCACCCAATCGACCTCTGCTGGATCCTGCCTAATGTCCCCAAAATTGGCCCTGCTCCAGTTTAGCACCTTAACCTGTGGTTCTGTCCTATCTTTTTCCACAAGTATATTAAAACTAAGATAGTTATGGTCACTGGGCCCAAAGTGCTCTCCGACTAACACTTCAGTCACTTGCCCAACCTCGTTTCCTAAGAGGACGTCCAGTGTTGCACCCTCCCAAGTAAGGCCCTCTACATATTGATTTAGGAAACTTCCTTGGACATGTTTGACAAATTCCACCCCATCTGGGCCTTTTACACTCTGGGTGGCCCAGCCAATACAAGGGAAGTTAAAATCTCCAACCAACACCACTCTATTATTCCTGCAGGTATCTGCAATATCTCTACACATCTGCTTCTCTAGTACCTGCTGGTTATTTGAGGGTCTCTAATACAGTCCCAACAGGGTGACCATCCCCTTGTTGTTTCTAATTTCTAACCATATGACCTCATTTGATGAACCCCTTAAAAATATCCTCTCTAAGCACTGTTGTTATGTCCTCCCTTATCAAAAGGGCAACCCCCCTCCTCGCTTACTTGTAGTTTTGTCACGCCTGTAGCATCTGTATGCTGGAACGTTGAGCTGCCAGTCCTGCTCTTCTCTCAGCCATGTTTCTGTTATGGCTATAATAGTCAAGGTAACTGTGGGAGTCAGTAGATTTGTAGTGGATATTGGTGGCAAGTCTATCCCCAGAAGTGGAAAGATAGATGTTGAGGAAGGGAAGGGAGGAGTCAAAGACAGATCAGGTGAAAACCGAAAGAACTGTGGATGCTGGAAATCAGGAATGAAAACAGAAGTTGCTGGAAAAGCTCAGCTGGTCTGGCAGCATCTGTGAAGGAAAAAAACAGAGTTAAAGTTTCGCGTCTGGTGACCCTTCCTCAGAATTGAAGGTAGATAGGAAAATGTTGGCTATAATGCAAAAGGTAGTGTGGGGAGGGAGTAGGGAGTAAACAATAGGTGGGGTTAGAGCCCAAAGAGAGAGAGGATAGTTGGACAGATAAAAGAATGGATAATGATCAGGATAGGAGGATGAATAGCTATTAATGGGGATTGTTAGCAACTAACATATAAGACAAAACATTTTTTTCAACAATTTATTAAAGGTGTGAATAACATCTCAACACCAGGATCGACAAATTCAATATTTGAAATGATTCAGAACAGAGGGGTGGCCATGGGTCCCAGTTATGCCTGTCTCTTTGTGTGGTATTTGGAACATTCATTGTTCCAGTCCTACTCTGGCCCCCACCCACAACTCTTTTTCCGATATATCAATGATATCATTGATGCTGCTTCCATCTCTCATCCGGGAGTAGAAAGGTTTATCAATTTCACTTCCAATTTCTACCCTGTTCTCACCCTCACTCCTTACCCCCTCCCGCACGACCTTTGCATGATAACCACCATTTTCCTATCTACCTTCTGTTCTAGGGAAGGGTTACTTGACTCGAAACATGAACTCTGATTTGTCTCTCCAGATGCTGCCAGACCTACTGAGCTTTTCCAGCAATTTCTGTTTTTGTTTCTGATTTCCAGCATCTGCAGTTCTTCCAGCTTTTATTTTGTCTTATGATGCCACCTTTTAAAATAAGAAACATCACAGTAAACTTGTTGCTACCTGTATCATTGAAAAAAAATGTTATGTCATTAGGTTTTTGTGCATTTGACTGTGCAATCAAATAGATTGCTGTCACATACATAGGAGATGATCTCTTGAGCACAAACATGGAGGTTTGCTAACACCTAAAGACCCATACCCAGCAAAATGCATCAGTTTTAGGGCCATAAGACTGTAAAATATAGTAGTACAATTCGGCCATTTGGCCCATCAAGTCTCCTCCACCATTTGATCATGGTTGATATGTTTCTCAACCGCATTCTCCTGCCTTCACCCTGTAACCTTTGATCCCTTAACAGTTAAGAACCTATCTATCTCTGTCTCAAATACAGTCTGTAACTGGTCTCCACTGCTCTCTGCAGCAATGAGTTCCACAGATTAACCACCCTCTGATTGAAGAAATCCCTCCTCATCTCAGTTCTAAAGAGTCATCCCTTCACTCTGAGGCTGTGCCCTTGGGCCCTAGTCTCTCCTACCAGAGGAAATATCTGCTCCACGTCCACTGTACAGGCCTCTCAATATTCTGTAAGTTTCAATCAGATCCCCCTCATCCTGCTAAACTCCATCGAAACAGACCCGAAGCCTTCCAATGTTTCTCATATGACAAGAACTTCATATCCAGGATCATTCTTGCAAACCTCCTCTGGACTCCCTCCAATGCCAGCACATCCTTCTTTAGATACAGGGTCCAAAACAACTCACAATATTCCAAATGAGTAAAAACATTGGAAAAAACGTGTTTTGAATATATGGAAGAAAATAACGATAAAGAAATCATAGATTCCCGAAAGAAGAAAAGAAAGATATACTGATATATACTAATTCGTTAATAGACTTTCTTGAGTTACTTACAGAGATTATCACCTTTTATTTTGTTTCTCGGATTGTTATGCTCAAACTTCTCAGTGGGAAAGTGAGCAGTTCATTCACAGTTCTTATTCAGACAGTTTATCAATGAGATGTACAGCAGGAGGTGGTGAGGCAATGCAACTGAAGATCGGATTCTCTTCTCACTGTGACATCTTCCTCTCCACTGTTTGTGCAAAATGAAATCACCCTGTCCTGCAGTAGCAACACCTGGTTTCCTAAGGAGATTGGAACAGCTAACAGGGCCACAACAAGAATCTTGTTCCAAAGTGCCCCCTATCAGCCACACTCTGTATCAACGCTGTGCCAGGAAATTGTTTACATACAGAATTTCTACTGTAAATGTTAGATTGTAGGTAATTTCATTGTTGGATTCTGACATGGAAGTGTGGCCAGAAATCTTCACGAGATGTTGTACGGGAAATGCATTCATGCCCAATTTTTAACAATAATTAGTAGACAAATAGATTTCCTGCTGTAGTAAAGTAACTGCTACTATTTATTTCTAGAGTGATCAACAATGGGATGGTATTTCCTTCATTCTCTGCTGAATGGGGTCAACAAGTACTCCACATCCCTGGGGAAAGTGTGGCTCTCGGTCATTTTCATCTTTCGTCTCCTGGTCTTGGTGGTGGCAGCTGAGA